GGCCCAGCACGATCGAGAACAGTCCTTGGGCCTGAGGTGGTTGCATGCACCCAACTGCCTTTGGCCTGTGTTTGGCCCAGTACCCGTATCCAGCCTAGGGCCTGCTTTCCATACATTCACACAGGCGGCCCAGGGCCTGGGTTCTCTCAACCAACTGGCTCTGCGCAACTGCCTGAATTTCCTTAGTTGCGCAGTGGTCAAAGTAGGGCCCTGAGGGCCTCGTCGAGCCTGCCTTCACTTAGGGCGACCGACTTGCTCCAAAAAGGGGCCGAATGGGGCTCATAGAGGCAGTGGCCTCGCATTCCCTCCTCCTTAGCTTCAACAGTCCTCTAAGAAGCTCAGTCTTCGACCATCGGGCGCTTTCCTTTCTGCAGAGATTTCTCGTAAGGACCCACAACTTGAGGAGCGGTCTGCATAAGTTCTTCCCTGGTGAACCAGCGGTCATCCTTAGGATCTGTATGATGTCGGAACGGAACGCGGTACTGCAGCTTCAGTTTCGGAGGACGTCCCCTGCTTGTTGGTCTTGGAACTGGCAGCTCTCTGTGGTCCACGATATCATCAATATCCACCTCTCCATCCATGGTTGGGGGCAGCATTGAACGACGAGATGGAAACTGATCTGTTTCTTTGAAAAATGCAAGCTTGGAGGCGTGAAAGACAGGGAACGTACCGAGATGACCAGGGATCCGGATTACATAAAAACTGTTTGGGCTCACCCCGGTGGCGCTGTGTACAGCGTTGTTGTACAGACTGGCGATGAGAGCGAGCTTCGCATCCCAGTCCACCTGGTTGGGCTTGATGTAATGCCTCAACAGGTGTTGTACAACGCGATTCAGTTGCTCGGCCTGACCGTTGGCCTCTGGGTGATTCCCCGAAGTCATCTGCAACTGGGTTCCTTGCTCTGCAGTAGCGGCCTTCCACATTTCGCTAGTGAAGCGAACATCTTTGTCGCTCACTATGGATTTGGGCAATCCAAAATCCCCACCCGGTTCTCTTTGAACATTCTGATCAAATACTCTGTCCTTGTTGTTTCCGGCATTGCTACTAACCTAGCATACTTACTAAATCTATCCACGATAACGAAGATGTATCTCATTCCACTCTTGCTGGAGACCAGTGTATCCATGAAGTCCATGGACAAGCTCTCACCAGGCCTTCCGGAATCGCTTCAGGAGCCCAAGAGGAGCCTACGTACGTGGCTCGTCCCTCTGACAGACTTGACAAGTCTCCACGTACAGCTGGGGATCTCGCATCATCGTGGGCCACCAGAACCGCTGCAGCAGATTAGCTGCAGTCCTTTTGTACCAAAATGGCCGGTGGCATCATGACACTCGCCTAAAAATAAACTACCCAAAGACTCCCTATTAGGAACACACAAATGTTTATTCCCAGCCTTCTCAAGGAACAGCAAGCCGTTGACCAACTCAAACTCGGCAGAAGTCACTTTGTCCTTCGCTTCGAGTCTGCGGATGATCTCAGACATGAACGGATCCTCACGATAGGCTTCCACCAAGGACTGAGTAACATTGTCCGCAAGTTCGAACTCAGTAATCAACGCACCTGAGAAATCAGGTCTACGCGACAAGGCATCAACAACCTTGTTGTATTCCCTTTCAGATACTGCGGGTCAAAGTCATACTGCTCAATGACTTCGATCCAACGCTTGAGAGTGTCAGAGAGTACAGGCTGAGTTCTCATCCATCTCAGGGTCTGATGATCAGTCCTGAGGATGAAGAACATCCCAAGGAGATAGTGCCTCCAATGGGTCAGAGCCTTGTAAACCGCATAGAGTTCCTTCTCATAGGTGGACTTAGCCAACTTCTGAGACGGCATTTTCTTGGACATGTACTCAATAGGCCTCAACTTTGGCCTCTCCTGTTGTGCAAGCACGGCGCCAATGCCATATTGGTTGGCATTCGTGGTGACTATAAACGACTTATCAGGATCGGGAAGTTTCAAGACCTCGTAGTGCGTCAACGCATGCTTCAGATGTCTGAAAGCAGCCTCACACTCATCTGTCCACTCCCATGGGGTGTCGAGGCGGGTCAGATCAGTCAAAGGAGCGGCCGCTATGCTATAGTTCTTAACGAAAGTCCTATAGTAGCCTGCCATCCCTAAGAAAGATCTCATCTTAGTCACAGACTGAGGACGTGGCCAATCACGAATGCTGGCCACCTTCGCATCATCGGGCTTCAACCCTTCCACGGAGATCTCATGATCCAAGTATAAGACACGGGTGCGGCCAAACTCCCACTTCTCACCGTTGATCTTGAACTTGTGCTGTCGCAGGAGACTGAGGACTTTGTCCATATGTGCAACGTGTTCCTCGACAGTCTTACTAAAAATAAGTATGTCATCGAGGTACACGATGACAAACTTATCCAAGTAGTCATGGAATATCTGATTCATAGCATGCTGAAAGGTGCCAGGAGCATTGCAAAGGCCGAAAGGCATCACCACAAACTCGTACAGACCGTACTTGGTCTGAAATGCGGTTTTGTGTTCATCCTCAGGCCGGATTGCAATCTGATGGTACCCGGACTTCAGATCTATCTTACTGAAGTACCAACACCCTTGCACTCTATCTAGCAAGTCATCGATGCGCGGTAGGGGCTCTCTGTTATTGACAGTGATGGCATTGAGGCCCCTATAGTCAATGCACATCCTAAGTGTTCCCTCCTCCTTCTTAGGTACGAATAATACTGGAGACCCATAAGGAGAGACACTCGGCCGGATCCAACCCTTCTCTACTAGTTCCTCGAGTTGTCGGCGAAGCTCATTGAGCTCGCCTGGAGACATCCGATAGATCCTACCCTTTGGTATACTAGCCCCTGGGATAATCTCTATCGCGTGGACGACCTCCCTCTCAACAACCCCTGTCGGCTCTTCAAATAGATCAGGGTACTTAGCAACTACTCCCTCTATCTCCGACGACATTTTCACCGGCTCGCCTGCAGCAGAGACATAAACTAGGTACATACCCTCCTCCTGATTTTGCTTATGATAATTGTAGAACGCGGCCGCACACATGCATCCATGGGACTCAATCAGACTACTAGCTTTGAACTTACGCAATCTGGCGGTCCCTCCTCCTGGCAAAGTGTGTTTGACCACTTTTCGGTCCTAGTCAAACTGGGGCTGTGCCACAGAGAGGTAGTGCATACCTAACAACATATCCATTGGGAACTCGTCACTTACTAGGAATGAGACGCGATGTCTCAATTCCCCTCGCGCGTACGGGAAACAACACTCAACATCCTGGAGGTAGTCATTGACTACCATGCGTTGTTTGTTGGCACATGTCGACTCCACAGGTCGACTCAGGCGCTGCACTCGCCCCTGTAAACGCAGCCTCTCAACGCACGCACGACTGATAAAGTTCCTAGTCGAGCAAGTGTCATAATAGGCCCGGGCTTGCGGCCGCCAATGACCACCTCGCTGACGAACATCTCACCCTTCGGGGCTTTGACCAATGCCGTCCAAGAAGCTAGCGGGTCTGATCTAGACCACTCCTCCTCTAGCTCCTCTAAGGACTCAAACACATTCATCGAACAGAGGCTCGATGAGTCTGAACGTGTTTGCGGGACGACGCTGGAGTCAGTAGCTTGGGCCATCTCTCGAGCTGGTGAGGGTGTAGCCAACACCTCGACCCTAGTAGGAACAACTACTATTCCTACTGGCCCGACGTGTTTCCCGGAGCAGTGCCAGAAGAACTAGCTACATTGCTACCAACGGGATGGGAGGATCCCAACGCCTGCCCCATCGTAGGCTAGATCTTATCGGTCACCTTCTTGTTGCGGCACTTGAATTGGTTATGGCCATATTGACCACAACGAATACAGGCCTGCCGTGTATACCGATCTCTCCACATGTCGTCTGTGAGACCCGCCTTCTCCCATGGGGGAGCGTTGGGGTCAACTTGACTCCTTGATCGGGAGCCTCCACTGTGTCTACTGGTCGCCTTGCCTTTCTGAGCTACGGCAGCGACAACTCTACCCCCTGAAGCTTCGACGCTGCCAGCCTCTGAACCTACTCCCTCTTGGAAGTTGTTGTCTAACTCGATGGTGGAACCATTGTTATCGACAAACATAATGCAGCCCTTCGCCTTCCAGTTGGGAGGCAGTGTTTCTTCCTACCGTCCGTTGTGGGATTATGTCCATGCCCTATCTTCGCCTCAAGGTCTAGGGCCTTCTTGCTGAACAAGGGGAAGTTGTGAACATTGATGTTGGCCTCACCTGCCAACTGATTCCTGAGAGGCATAGGAAAGCATCTCAGGTAGGAGGTGAGTAAAATTTGGTGGTCATAGCGCACCCCAGGGACACAGATCAGACGCTCTACAACGTCGGTGGCTTCCCTTACTGACTTGAACTGCCTCGTGTGCAGTGTCAGGATCGCATCAGTGGCCTTTTGGGCCTCCTGAGGATCATGCCACCTTTCTTCCACCAACTTGAGGAAGTCACCCAATTGCTGGGTGACCGCCCAAGCGCGAAAGTCATGACCGTATCCCTGCAGCTGTACTAAACCACTCAACCATCTTGTTGCACTACCCTCTAGGTAAGATGCAGCCACAAGCACTTCCTCGTGCGGCAAGGTGAGTTTACACTTGACATAGAATGGCACTGCCCTCAACCAAGTGTCGAGGTCTTCGCCTCTCTTACCCCCTCTGAAGGGTTTAGGATCGGCGATGGCCATCTTTGGTACCCACTGAGTTTGTCCCGGTCCCTGCATCACTCCGAGCTGTGGACCCTGTGACACAGGCTGCTGTGCTAGCTGCTGGGGCTGTGTACCCTGCGGCTGTACAGGCTGCGTGGTAACCGCAACCTGCAACGGAGATTGGGTAAACACTGTTTGTACAGGAACCTGCAAACTAGATCCTGCTAATAACCCGCCTGATAGCGGCATGACTAGGGAAACGATCACGACCGATGATGGGCTACATATGGGGATACCCCGGTCACCGGTGGGACAAAAGGAGGAGGTTGTACAACGGGCCAGCCACCAGGCCCGGACATCGATGGCGTTGTCTGCGCACGCCCAACCAATAGGGCCAGACTTTGCTGGATGTCCTAAAGGATGGTCGTCTGATGGTCTTGCATTTCCACTACATTTAGCAGGACGGACCGTATGGTCCTCACATCGTCGGTCACGTGCGTCAAGTCCATCTCCTCTAACTCACTAACATCCGCTTGTCTCCGCTGCATCCTGGCTCTTCTTCTAATCATCCTTTCTTTCTCCGCTTTTATCTCTCCTAAAGCCTTCTGTAGCTGTGTCTCCTGCAATGCTGCTTGTTGTATGGCGATCTCATCGGAAGTCAACACTATTGGCTGGCTTGCCATGACGCCAGTGGACTGACTCAGGGTCTGCGCGACCGTTGACCCTACAGATCCTGAACTACTAGCCTGGGAACTCTGCTGCGCAGAAGTGGCCATGGCTGCTGAAGCTGCGGCTTCACTTACGAACGCCCTGCTTGCCTCTTCGGCCCTGGCTCTCCTCTGCTGCTGCTGCTTCTCCCTACGCTGGCGGAACAGATACCTGTCACCCTTTGGACCTAACGCCAAATGGGCTACTGGGCGCCTTGCCGATCGCAAGATCCGGTCGTCCTCTCTAGTGTTCTCCTCGTCGCTCATAAGCTACAGCACTGTACACAATCTGCACTAATGCACTCTGGATGCCTACCGCAATGTAGTGCACAAACCAATTTAAAATAAATGAATAATTAATTGGTGGCTATTTCGGAGTAAATACACTTGGGGTCAACAGGTAAGTTCAGGTTCCTACAAACGCAACCTATTTCACTTTGACTAGTCCGCAAACAGAAAGCAGAAGGAACAGAAAACAGTCCTAACTAATGTTGTCTGTCAGATGTTACTTGGTTGTACATCTAACTAATCAAAATAAAAATAAAATCTTTTGCTTGGTCTGTTCATAGCATGGTATCTTACTCGAACTTATCACCTGGAATCTACCCTTTCCCCTAGTTCCCTTGAATTTCACTTGACGTCAGCGTCGCTGAGCAATCCGGAGAGCGTTGCGTGTCTAAAAGGTGTGTGTTCGGCCCACCCCTGTGCCCCGAGTATCTGCTGAGCTGACCAGCCTTGCACTGGATTATCCTCGCGTGTAGCGAGCCGTACAACCATTGGCTGATCCAGAGGCAATTTAACGACCGCCCCCAAGTGTCATCAGGAATTATTTTACGTCGAAGCAGGACGACGATCATAGCCAATGATTTCCCCTGCCGGTGTTTATTTAAAGACGCCCGGTTCTCATCTCCCACTTAGGGCTGGCCCGCCCTTCAGTACCCATCTAACAACGCAGCAAGCCAAGCAAAGGACAAGCAGCAAAGCATGCGTGCTCTACTCCCGGTGGGTTGGCATGGTGACCGTGACCCAGTGCTTCGTCCAGGGCCCTTCAGAAAGCTCCGCCCATCTTCTCCCAGATGCTCCACGTGAACATTGCCGACTCTCAAGGTTGAGCGCATTCGATTCCTCACAATGAGAGAACTCTCAAGAAGGAACACACAACCTCACGGTAAGAAGTGTCGGAGAGGGTAGATAAGGTTAAGAGCAACGTACCTCAAATAGCTGCCCCCAACCACAAAGATAATCTCACCAGATGACCAAATGGCGATGGCGATGACCAGTCACCGCATCGGCACAACCAGCATTATCTCGCCGTTCCACCTCAGCATCAATCGCACATTAGATAGTTCTCATCACACTGTCCAGACCACATTATCCCCTCGTAGCCTTCCTGGCGATCCCCTCACCTCCTGGGTCGCCAACCACTTGTCTCCGCCCTCCACACTACACACCACTTACAGCCAAACTCGCCAAGCAGACCGCATGTATGTACCGTACCCGGCAGAAGACAAGCGCCAGATGAGCGCAATTGTACCACAGCTCTGATACCAAATTGCAAGGAAGATGAGCAATAGCGAACTTCAGCAATCAAACAGCATCATACATATGAGTCCAGATAGTCGTGAGTCCAGATAGTCGTGACCTCGAACCAACAGCAGAATTGCATCACGAGTTTCACCAAATAAGAACACACCAAGAGTTCATAATTGACAATGCTG